CCAAATCATTCCCCAGATCCTTGCTTCTAAAAGCAAAAAACAAAATTTGCTGTATTTCACAGCCTTGCCTCATCAGGGACGGTTTGATTGAGTGGCTTAAGCACCTTCTTAAGCCACATTTTCCAAAATTATTTGGGATGAAGCCATGACAGATAAGCTGGTTGAAACATGATATGCATGAATATGTTGCTCCAGTACGCTCAAGGATTTCTGAGCAAATACCATTCAGGAAAAGGGCTGGTTTATACAGGGTTATGTTCATTCAGTCTCCTGCCGTTAATTCAAAGTAGTGTTGATCTACAGAAGTTTCATTAATTGCAACATCTGTTTTTCTCGTAAACTCAGAGGCTGAAGCCCAGATCTTCTCCATCATCTAGTATCTGAGGCAGGCTGTCTCTATACATCCCAGCTGATTAGAGAAAACAGTTCTTTTGGAGGATGGGCCAAAGGCTCCTTATTTCTCAGTAAGTCACCCTAGCTGTCCACTGGCAGATGAAATCAGTAAACACATTTCCCTTTCTTCACGCCTGAGCTGGAGGATATTTTAAAATATCACTTAAATATCAAGAGGAAATAGCAGTAAATTTCCCCCTCTCCTTGCTAGTTAATGTTGTGCCTATGCAATTATATAAAATACACAGATGCTATTTGCTGGAAAATCTCCTGTCTCTTGAACCTATAGAGCAGTGTTTCTCAACCTTGGGAACTTGAAGATCTGTGGATGTCAGCTCCCAGAATTCCCCAGCCAGCACGGCTGGCTGGGGAATTCTGGGAGTTGACGTCCACAGATCTTCAAGTTCCCAAGGTTGAGAAACACTGCAACAGAGACATCTCCACCACTATATTAAGATACATTCAGCGAATACTGAAAGATTGGAAGCACACAATTAGCTTAGACAAATATTCCAGAATGCTTAAGTGCTTATAAAGATTGTGTCACTTTGTCGTGTTCAAGAAAATAGTAACGGTCAGGATGCAAAAATCCCTGGTGTAATGTCCCAGATATTGCAGCATCTTTGTCAGGGCATGAAAAACAGTTAACAAACAGATCAAGCAATCACTAGTTTTGAGAATTATGACCAATATCCTATTCTTCACTCTTGACATAACTCATCAGAAGTGAATGAAATCTCACCTCCCCTAATAATTTTGATTACATATGTCTCAGGTCCTGATTGTTACTTAAAGTTCATACATTTAGGAAGAAACCCTTTCGTTTCCTAGCGTGGGGTTTCCGCCCGGTGTGAAGATCCAGAAATGTGAACAGCCCACCTCCCGTTAGTTTGTTAAAGCCATAAACCAAAGAAAAAGAAGTCCTGATTGAAAAGTACAGCTCTGAAAAAGAATATTGCACAAGGCCGGTTTCAACAAACTGGCAATGATTTCATAAAAAGAAATGTCTCCCAGGAGGATTCATAGAGCATTTAACTGGGACAAAATCATTCTGAAATCAAGGTGATTTATATTCCTAGAACGAAAAACGGAAACGAAAAACATGGAGAGGTTGTTCTGCCACAAAAAAGCACACCGCCTTTCATCAGTGCCGCAGCTTGCTCTAAAGCAGTGTTTCTCAAACGTGGCCCCTTGACGATATGTAGACTTCAACTCCCAGAATTCCCATGGCTGACTGGGGAATTTTGGGAGTTGAAGTCCACCCATCTTGAACCTGCCAAAGTTTGAGAAACACTGCTCTAAAGCATTGTACATCCCCTTTGCACGTAGATCTAAAATCTCAGTTCGTACAAGCATACGACCTGCATTTTAGAAGGAGGGCTGGTCTCTGGGCGTGGAAGATTGATTCTCCTAAAGCGGTAACTAGATAGTCCAAATGATTAAAAACCTGCCATAGCTAACGTCATTCTCTTTTCCTTCCAAAAATGCGTAAGGACCTTCAGCACCAAAGCAATAAAACCACATGCAGAATTGGCCACCCGCTCAAATGAAATGGAGCTGACCTTACTGTGATGCTCTCCCATCACACACAATGTCCTGCTACATATCATATAAGCCCAGAACGAGTAGAAGAGTTCAGATCTTTAGAGCAGTGTATCTCAACCTTGTCCACTTGAAGATGAGTGGACTTCAACTTCCAGAATTCCCCAGCCAGCATGGCTGGCTGGGGAATTCTG